GTTGTTTGTCTATGTGTGCCTTGCAATTGGCTGGCCAACAGTCCCGGGTGTACCCTGCGTCTCACCCAAAAACAACTGGGATAGGCTGCTCACCTGCGACCCCAGTGAGGATAAGGGTATAGAAAAGTTTTGGGAGAATGTCATCCTCGTGCGTGTATACGTTGTGATTATCTGAGCCTGTGGATTTTCCATTGGGGTCAGTACTTGTTATCTTACTGTGATTTAATCAGCAGGTATAACTAACAACATATGTTTGTGTGGCCAGGGTTCCATGCAGTGATCCTTCTGGACAGTCCATCATTCTGCCATTATCCGACTTTGAGCGGATTACCGCCAGATCCAACGTTCTCTCCAAGGATGAGAAGAAGGCCTTAAAGGAGGCCCACATGAGTAGGAAAGAGAAAGAAATGGTAGCAAATATTCCCAAAGGGTCAACTTTGTAACTTTACTTGAAACCGCATTTCCAGTTGTGTCCTTGCTCATAGCAGGCGGCCGAGGAAATGAAGCGGCAGATGTTAGAAGCTGACGTGTACCGTCAGGAGAAGCGGGCTCTGAGTGAGGTGGAGATGGAGGCCCACGAGCGAACGCAGCGTCTGCTGGAGCGAGCCGATGCTCTGAGAATGGAGCAAGAGGAGGAGATTAGAGAACTCAACAAGGTAGGAAATATGTGAAGTTAAGGCACCTATTTTGCTTCAAGCACAGTTGTCGAACTCAAGGCGGGTACTGTACTTGTAAAAAAGTTTGAGGACCACTACCTTGCAAGTAATAGTCACTGATGAACTCCATGCCTGTGGGCTGCTCAGGTGATTCTTGGTGCTCAGTGCCAAGCCACACGTGACGCCCAAATCCAGGAGAAGAAGCAAATCCAGATGGAGATGCTGGAGGAGGAGAAGCGTCTGGATGCCATGATGGAAGCTGAGCGCCGCAGGTTCCTGGACAGGGTGGAGCAGACTGATGAACTACGTAAGCAGGAGAGGATCAGGTGACCGCTCTGCCCCCCCCCCCAAAAAAAAAACAAAAAACAAAAAA